CAGAGTATTCCAAAAATTGGCTATCATTTAGACCAAACGACATCTATTCCCAAAAACGGGTTTTCTATTATATATAGATGTATTAGAGACCAAACGACAGATCGATCGACATATATATCATATTTAGGCGACTCATTTTCTTGGAGATGTTGGATATACGTACACTCGTCTTTTATTGGAATGACAAAGACGTGTCGAAATCAACCTACTTATAGGGGAAGAAAATTGATTACGTATTTCGCAAGATTTATTGTCCTTGTCTTCGAAACCCCCCTTTACCCCATCCAATTCATTGTTATTTTCTTACAATTAGATCCAAAATATTTTCCACAGATTTGTGATGCGAAACAGTTCGTTAAGTTAGTTTAAAGAAACCCAAACCAAAAATATATTTGTTACAGTATTTAATATGAAAATTTTACTTAAAAGGTTAGCTTCAATAGCAAACCAAGCGGTAGTGGTCTCTTTCATATTCGTTCATGACCATAATTCTTTCATTTTTTATTGACCAATCGAAACTGAGTCACCTTTTAGGTCTCATCAAAAATTGGGTGAATGGATTCATATCCATAATTAATTCATTATTATGAAGATAACAACGAATCATCTTTTAGACGACGCCGTTTTATGGAACATTATGTCATAAGAGCAGAAAAACAGAGCCTTTTTAACTTGAAATGATTTTTTGTTTTGTTTGAATAGTGTTACAAGTTTTATAGTTTGTGAAATTATTACATTCGTACTAAACAGAAAGTAATATAACAATGTTAAATAATGACGCGTTTCTTGACGGGAACGGCATGTAACGGATTGGTCTTGTGTAATGAGAGACCGAAAGTCTCGTCCATGTCCAAATCCTCCGGAACGAGGCCGTTTGGAAGCTTCCAATTACAAGAATAGAGAAGAGAAGCAAGCATAAGAGGCACTGTCTTCAAAGCCAAAGACATTCCCGGACAAATTCTGCGTCCGGCTCCGAACGGTGTAAGCTCATAATCTTTACCTTTCACATCAATCTCTTTCCCCAAAAACCTCTCTGGCTCAAACCGCACCGGATTCTCCCACACGTTCGGATCTCGCCCTATTGCCCATACGTTCACAAGAACCTGAGTGTCTTTAGGCACAAGGAATCCAAGAACCTCCACGTCAGCTTCCGCTTTTCGAGGAATGAGAAGAGGACCAACCGGATGTAACCGGAAAGTTTCTTTCACAACCGCTTGTAGATACGGCATTTCCGAGATATCAGACTCTTCAACAACACCTTTTTGACGGATCACACGATCGATTTCGTCCTGAGCTTTGGACATTGTTTTAGGGTTTCGAAGTAACTCTGTCATTGCCCATTCCACGGTACTAGAGTTTGTGTCGGTGCCTGCAATAAACAAATCCTGGTAGACAAGTACATATTTTCCATAATCTTTGGATATTTCTCCCTTTTCGTTTAAATGTTATTTCATATGATTCTAATATGGTAAGACTTACATAGAGAAGGTGTTCGATATCGTTAGTGTTGAGCTCTGCTTGGCTGAGATCAATAAGGGTATCCACGAAATCATTGTTCGAGTTACTTTGCAATGATTTTTCCGCAATTTTAGCATCAATGAACCCACGGAAAACCTTAAACAACCTCTCCGAACAGACCTTCATCTTCTTCGTATTACCTTGCAGATCAAGAAACTTAATAAACGGGAAGAAGTTAGAAAGGTCTGGGTCCCCAACAGCTTCCATGACACCAGTCACCGCGTCCTGAAATCCGCTGGACTTTTTTGAATCGTAGATACCGAGATCTACGGAAAACAGAATGTTCGATATGATATTAAGTGATGTGACGAATGATGCATGAGAAATATCAACAGCTTCTTCTCTCTCGCTGCATTCATTGATGAAGCTCACAAGCTCTTGCACCTTGTTCATTCGCAAAGCTTTAGTGGCTTCGAGACGCTGCGGAGAGAACAGCTCAGTCGCTGACAGCTTTCTCAACATCCTGAAACAAAGCACAAAAACGAAATGACTAAAGATATAAAAATGCGACTGTAAAAAGGAAATATGCCTAAAGTAGTACATAGAAAAACCTAGATCTCACTTTTGTATCTATATAAAAAATAAATTGTTTTTTTATTTTTTAGAACTCGTTCAGTATCACCAGTGGACATACAAAACTTAAAAAATTCTTAATGAG